TTCAAACACAGTTTGCAGATTTCCCTGCTCAGATACACCTATTAAACATGGCAATGGGCCGAGTTAGATGTGTTTAAGCAGGGAAATCTGCAAACTATGTCAAACTGTGTTGGATTCTGGCCCTTCAGGACCAGACCGGGGGGAACCCTGGCATAGACTATGGAGGCCGAACACTTTATGAAGTTAAAGGCAGAGCCACGGTGCAGCAAGGCTAAAAATAGAGGAAGACAGACTGTCCAGATAATATATATCAAGATAGCAGTAGAGGGGGTATATTTAGTAAAAGTCAATTAGTGACTGGCCCTAGTCTACTTAGCAGAGTGCAATCTGGCGTACAGCAGTGGGACATAAAGAATAATCATGTGGCAGAAGATCATTTGGAAAAAATAGGAAAGATAAAAGTAATTATTAATTATTTATGAAATATAAAACAGACAAAAAGAGAGGCGCTGGTTTTCTATTTATACATAAACCGAGTGGGTGAAAGGAAAAAGCTCCTTGGCCATTATTGTATAAATATAAATATTGCATTTGGGAAATTTCAAAACTTCCATCATACATTCCTCTCTGCATGTCATGATCAACATTTCATGCTGTTTTTGTAATTTCACAAAGCAGTACATGAACAATTATAACTTGGCATACACAGGTCATTGAGCAGACAGCGTTATCAGTTTTACATGATCCATTCATCCATCCATCCATCCATCCATCCAACCATCCATCAATCTTCTGAGCACTAGTCAAGGACGCAGTGGGGGCTCGAAGTGTAATTGTCACAGATCGGTTTGGGGAAGCCCCGGTGTCACACTCTTTCTTCGTCTCTACACCACAGCCTCCGTGGAATCCCGAGTTGCAAGACTGGCACCATCTGGGAAGTCTCTTCTCTGCCTGCCCTGGTTCACCAGCAGAATCCTTTGGCGCCATGCCCCATCCCAGTTGTGTCCATTTACACTAATTGTCCTCCATACTTATACACATCTGACACGTCTGACAGACGCGATGTCTGATTGCCTGCAGAGTTTTAGCGTTTTCTTCCAAGTGCCCTTTTCCTGCCTGACTGCCTGTGCTCTAGATGCAGTCTCTGCCCTGTCTAGCTCCGTGTTTTGCCAAGCTCTCCAACTGCCGATGCCCATCGCCCGACCTCCTGCCAAGCCTCTGACCACCAATGCCCATCACCTGACCTCCTGCCAAGCCTCTGACCACCAATGCCCATCACCTGACCTCCTGCCAAGCCCCTGACCACCGATACCCATTGCCTGACCTCTGCCCGTATAATGATCACACCCTTGGATCAAGATTTGGTTTTTCCTGTCTGAATATAAGGATAAATAGTTTCCCTTATCTGGTTGGCACTTTCCATCAGTATCCCAGGCAGCACAGGGCAGAAGGCTGGGCTGCACATTGAATGGGAATTCAGTCCATATGTTACATGTGTTAGGATGATGTTAAAGGTGCTGTACTTTGAACTTAAGTCAAATGATGTCAGAAAAGATATTTGTAAGAAAAAATGAGCCTATTGGAAGCTAAACCTGAAGACAAAGGAAGGTGAATGAAGGCCAATTCAAAACTGCCACTAGAAAACAATTATGCAATGTGATCAGTAAAATACCAAAAATGAATTTTGGAGAACAAGCCTGGTTATACCTGCTATATACCATATTTTACACTGTAATTATTTATGCCCAAAGCAGTATACAAATGAGGAACAGAGCACAGGCTCAGGCAGCAGCCCTGCAGTAGTGAGGATTAAGGGCTTTGCTCAAGGGCTCACCAGTGACATGATTGCTCTCTGGGCCGTGGGATTTAAAAGCACAACCCTCTGGGCATGGGCACGGACCCAAAACCTGCTGAAGTGCAAAAACCTCACACGCACACCCACCTAGGGGCAGGAATCAAACCCACATCCCTGGAGATATGCAACAGTTTGCTTGTTCTCCCCATGGCACACGAATTTCATCTGAGTACTTCAGTCAGGCTAACTGGTGTCCCTAAGTGGCCACGCTTTGGTTGTGTATGTTTGCTGTGTTCAGGGCATCACCCCCCCGCACTGTGCCCTGTGCTGCCACAGCAACACCCTGCCGAGAAAGACTTGCAGAATGTGTATAATGAGCTACGGTAGAAAACATCAATAACATTGCAAGCAATAAATGTAACAAACATAAAATGTACAGTATCAATCAGAAAAGGCTATTTAAGGCAATCTTCCTAGTTTTACCTTCCACTGCCACTGTAAATGCCCATACAAAGCACAGAAACAGTTGTCATTCCAATAGCCTGGTTTAAAACCTGCCTGGAGAATTTTACTAAGGCATGGAGCAAGTGGGACAGATGTCAGGAAAGGAGCCCATGGCTAATGCAGGCTGCTCCTATTATGCACTCACTGTCTTGTATTTACTTGACACTAGGGTCTGTAAGAAAAAATGCAAGTATAAAAAATCATATTCTTACCAGTCAGTTACTAATAGTTTGGTGTAAAGATGGTGTGAAATTGTCCTGAAACATTGTATATCTGTAAATTTCAGTTTTGCCTTTGTGTATTTGTGACAGGGCAAAAAATTTCAGTTTTGCCCTGTCCGACTTCCAGCTGTTTCTGGCCCTTTGTTGCCACCTTCTGGTTGGCAGTGGCAGCCAATTTTATTGTTCGGCTCTAAATTACAATTTACAGTGTTTTCTCCTGTGATGTGCATTTTGCAGATGCAAATTTGCTGCATGATTTATTTATCAGGGAACAATAACAAAATACTCTGATGTTTGAGTTTGTGTGCAAGTTATCCAGCTTAGTAATACAGTCCCCTGATAAAGCAAAGAACGGCACCCAACTTAACCTACCTATGACCGTAGGCCCACCCAGAGGGAACTCAGCCCCTCCCATTCAGCGTTCACAGCCAGCTACACCGTACCCTGAATTGTTGCGTCTGACAGGTGTGCGTGGTTGGATCAATCTGAGGAAACGTGCTGTTGAAGGCAAATTCATTTTCTTTCACTTTACTCATCTGGTCGTAATAATGCCATGGGTCAAATAAAACTGATTTAAAATACGTAGTAGAGTCTGTCGTGTGATTTTGTTGCCAAGTGATTTGTTGTGGCACTGGCCCATAATGCTGTGAACAAACATTCACCTTCCCTTCTCTGCACAGATTTGTTCTTTTTGTTCTTCCACTAGTTTTCAGAAACTAGGCCAATGAGAGCCAGTGAGACATGCAATGGCATGCTGTAAGGGAGTGTATGATTGGCTGGAAACCAAACTTTGGACTGAACATATACGCCCCTAAAGAAGGAACAAGACCTGTGACCAAGACAGCCTCTCTGGATGACATGAGTGTGTGAATGGGTGAGACACTGCTCTCCTGCTAAACCTCTGCTTAAAGATTTTTTTTATCGCTTATTCATTCCTTTGATTTCTGGCAGGCAATTAATGTCCCTACACATGAATATGGACACATTCTTGATTTAATGTTAATGTTTAATGTTGTCTCCTGGGATCAATGTTTGTGATGTGGAGATCTGTGATGTGTGTATTTTGGATCATTTTCCTGTTTTGATCAACTTTTTCCTTCATATATTAGTGATCAGGCTCCAATTCGCCCCACTCATTTTAATAAAACATCGACTGCTGGAGAATTTTATCTGGCTTTTAATGAAGTGTCTGGTTTGTCTTGGATGGGTGATCTAATTATGGCTTTATAAATTTCTGTGTATAACGCCTCCTGCTCTGCTGATTTAGACTGTTGCCCCTTTTAAGTCTTTCCATCCTAAACTTAATCCTGCTCCTTGGTTTACCGACACCACTCGAATAGCGCAACAGTACAACAGTTCAACTTCGTTGAAAAGCTGAGCGCAGGTGGAAACAGGACAAACTTCAGATTTTAGTTCTGTTTTAAATCCTCCTGTTAGGTTAAGCTTGATTGTGCCACATGATTTATGTGAAAACGTGGTTGAGGTTCAGGGTACTTATTCTAGTACTGTACCTCTGTTTTGGGACCCCTCTAATACCCTTAGCTTGTTCAGCTGTTTTTAATCAGTTCGAACCTGTGTCCCTTGAGAGGTTAGCTGAGCTGTTTAGCCTCAAGCAAAGGAGACTAAGGGGGGACATGATCCAGGAATATAAGATTCTAACAGGTCTGGGTGCTCTGTGAGTGTACAGTGTTATGGACCTGCTGAACTGCTCTGTGAGTGTACAGTGTCAGGGACCTGCTGAATTGCTCTGTGAGTGTACAGCGTTAGGGACCTGCTGAACCGCTCTGTGAGTGTACAGCGTTAGGGACCTGCTGAACCGCTCTGTGAGT